AACGCTGTTCGTGGTAATAGCCAGTGGAGTAGTTGTTTTCTGATAGGCGTCAGTCCATTCAATCTACTGTGTAGGTATATCCGAGACGGACTTAAACATTTGAAGTTCATTTCTTTAGATTTGTTTAATGCTGTGCACTGACTAATAAGAAAATATATAATAAAAAACTTATACGAAAATAACCAAAGTGGGTAAATATGAAAACCAGCGTTGACACTCTTATAGAATATCATTTATAAAATTGCTAAATCTGAAATAACATTTGATGTAACAGTTGGTTTTTGTCATTTAAGTAGCTTTTATAATTTTGGTTTGGAATTATAAGGTTATTTGAAGGTACATGTAGTAGATAGGGGTGGCCACGTGAATTCTGAAAATCGAAACTAGATCCCAGAAATAAAGCATCCATCATATAGGTTTTCTATATGAAGTATCAAATAAGTTTCAATCTAACGATATAATATGAACATTGCTGAGGGAAATATGCTACAAAAAATACAGGTCCATATTTGAAATGTCAAAATTGAAGATATTCTGTATGAAAATTCAACATTTATATTTTTTCATTACAATTGAAGTTCTTATGCCAAAATCTGAACAGGTTTTCAATATTCCTGCAAATGAAAACGTTACAGCAGATAATAATAATAATTTATTGACGATATTTCTCCAAAGTAGTGAATTCAAAGTAAACAATAAGTGAATTAGGGTCTTCATGTATATTTTAGGAACTGAAAGAGCTGGAATTGTTTTTTCGGTATCATTGGTACTCAAGTTATTATATCCTATTATTTTTAATAAATTTTTTCAGCAACATCAACTTTGAGCGTCCTTGAGAGTAAGGTGTTGAATTATTTGGAGGAACGCGAGGATGAAGATATCTCCATGAAAATCAAATTACAAGAACTTGCCCCAGATGTTACAGATGATATTTCACTGTCGAAGAGACCATCGTGGTTACAAGATGAGATTAATAAAATGGACATGTGCAAATTTCCCATTCCCCATAGAGTTATGCCAGAGAAAGTTTCATTTTATACTGGTAACATATCGTAGTAACAATCCAATTATTATACATTTCAATCTCCAAAGAATATAATATAATGCAGAATTTAAGTAAGACTGGCCAAGATAAAATAAAAATAATTGAAAAATTAACAAGTAACGTTGAAATCAATATTTGAAAAATATTGAAATACAGTTTAGTTCTTTTCTCCTAGTTCCGTTTAATGAACATGAACTAATTGTCATGCTCAACAGAAAACTGAATAATAAATTTTTCTCTAGATCGGATGAAATACCCCATGTGATCGTTAAACGTGTTCTTAAACATATTATGACACCACTAGTCTATCTCATAAATTTATTATTTGCAAATGGAACATTCCCGCAAGCTTTGAAAACTGATAAAATTACACCTGTATATAAAAAAGGTGATTCCTCACTAATAAGTAACTATCGACCAATTACGGTACCCTCCATCTTTTCCAAAATATTTGAATTATCATTCTTGGAGAGNCCAATAAAGAATTATTATTATTATTATTATTGTAAATAAACAATTGAGTGTATCTCAGTTATAGTCTGTCATAGAGTAGGATGTATGAAGATGCAAGTGCAACCTTCCTTATCGTGTCGCTCTAGTGGTGGAACGGAGAAAGTGTTGTGGTGAAAGCCAATACAATCAGTGAAAGACATATCGTTTCCCTAAAAACTACATAGCCAGACATTCACCAAGTTTGGATTTCGTTAGAATGGAACCCCGTTCTAACGAAAACCTATCTGTTCAACAGGTTTGTGACGGAAATGTTGTTTGCGTGCAACATTTTTCTTAAGACTGTTCAGTTGTAGCTTGAAGAGAGTTTGAAGAGAGCTGTTTATATATTGGACAATTATTGTAATTGAATTTTCACATATACATATTCCATGTAGAGAGGAAAATAGTTGAATGGGTGGTATGTGAAATATATTCTCACTGAAATTTTCAAATTACCATTTTATGTGATGTTTGAGTAAGTTTCATGATCGAATTTTTTTCAAAATATTATAGATACACTTTTCAAAACCGTGTTACAATGAATAGAAATGAATGAAACTCAAGAGATAACTTGAAACATTTATTCATCTATGATCGGTAAAATAGATTTCTTCACTCTCGACACCAACACGAACTTTTAAAAATATATCAGTTTTTGAATACAGACACAATCAGTGATTCGTGCATTAGGTTTTGTCGCGATAAAGTATTCAGGTTGATCCCAACCGTGTAGTTTATATTGGGTTCACACATATCACACATTTCTTTTTTTTTTTCCTGTGTATCTTGTATGTCCAGTATGCAGATGTGTTCATTGATAACTGATGTTTCACGTCATCTTCGAGTTCATATAATCAGTAATTCAAGTGACCAGAAATTTTGAATCGTTTTATGAAAATTTCTAAATCGCCAGGACATAGTACACCGACTTGTACAGAAATACTTGATTCATGAGAGGGACCCCAAATATATTTTATATCGTAGGAATCGTCTTCGATTATACATGTATTTCAATAGATGGACCTGATAAATTGGTTGTCTGAATATGTTTGTTGAAAGCTAGGTTAGGTTAGGTCCAAAATGAGTGGGTCTATTCGACCCTCCACCACAACCCGCAAGGGTTTATTAGGGCTCACACCTATTCACATATGACCAAATGAACCCAGATTTTTAACGAAGCCGATTAATTTGTATGATGAGTGGTCTTTCAGGTCATATGGTAAGAGTAGGGCTCTGCCGAACTCTAAAAACCTGATTCGGTCCCCAGCGAGGCAGGCACAAAGTATATGCTTTGCTGTTTCATCGTTAATGAGGTAGTCGGATAGTCTATGTGCAACATTCCCGCCCTGATACCAGCGACAGCCTTCCCATATGAGGCTTTTTGCACGTCAGCTACACCTGACGATGCCTTAGATTCAACCGTGCAGGGTTTTTCGCCTCTGGTTTTGGTGAGTCATCACTTTACTGACCTGCTGATGGGACAGATTCTGCGTACGCCGCTCAAGAATTTGGTGCAAGGTGGTTTCATTAGGTACTCCGCTCTTGGGGAGACGACTCAGTCGTTTCCTGGCTGCACCACCAAACCGTTTTCAAGGTTCAGTTATTGTATCAGGAGTTGGAGAGTTGAGAAGCTCTAGCTCCTAATTTGAATTTACAGGGAGGTCCGTCGGAGTCGTAAGCTAGACATCCATCTCCTCTGTAGACTCAGCGACAGAAATAATTTTCAAGTTTACTCTGTCCATAAAAGTCCCACGAGTAGCTAGGGAAAGAAAGTCAATCACGACAAAGCCCCACATTACCGTGACAAGGCGATGCCACGACGAGAGGGCGCCCGGTATCTCGAAGGTTCCGTAGAGACAGCTGATAGGCTCAATGTGTGTGTGTTTGTATTCAAGCCCCTCGGCATGGATACACAAACCTTAGGATTAACCCGTCGTTGGATGCCAATTAAGTTAGGCAATAACAGAACCACAAGTGATTCTGTCATTCCCGTATCCAGCGGAGCTAATTGGAAACAGACATCCGATGGCCGGTTTGCTCAACCCCCATATCCCAAGCCAATGCATGTTGAAAACTGTGTAAGGAGTTCAGAGAATATGTCAATATCAAGGCCTTCTTCATGTTTTCATGTTGATGAATCTAACTGCTGATTGAAATATAAAGAGTTCCTAGCTATAGAGGCTGCAAATTCGGAAAAACTTAAATGCGGGTGATGAGTTTGGGGCCAGGAAAACTACTGCGACTCCTTCGATTGATTGAAGCGCCCTTGTAGATGTGGGTGAATGGAAAAACTATAGAAAAATAACAATCAGGTGGTGTTATTATTGAATTTGCTCCTGTGCATATTACATTGAAGTAGGGTGATGACCAGAGTGAGATTACTGAACTGCGAAGATAGTCTGGAAAGTAATTTCTGAAGTGTTTTAAAATAGTGTTGATGTATGTTTGGAGATTGTATCCTAGTAAATTTCAGATACATATGGAAAACTCAACTGGTTTTTTGTTCGGTAATGATGGTTCACCAGAGATCGACTATACAGACGTCCTTAGGTAGTGGTCCACGAAGTACCAACCTGAGAGCCTCGTTTTGCGTAAACCAATCATTCTTTGCGACGATTCACTTGCTGCAGTGAAAATTATAGGTCAATATCAAGGTTGGATCTCACTAGAATTCGGTAAAGTAATGTAAGGGTTATACTATTAGATCCCCATTTAGAAAGTAGTCCAGTTCAGCGTTTTGTCTAGAATCATTCCCAAATACCGTATTTATTGCATTGATAGAATGTTCTCGTCGTATAACTCTAACGATGTATGGAAAGCTGCATATTTTTGAAGAAAAGTATGCACTTGGTTTTCTTTCCTTTCAGTTTTTTATTGGATAGTATTTCATTGACTCTGAAACTTTTCCTTCGTAAAATTTTTCCACCAAAACTCATAGAAATACTACATGTACTCAATTTGTTCACAAAACAATCCCTGCAGGTCGTGTATAGGCCTCACTTATATCAAACAAAAAAGCAATAGTATTTTGCTTATTTGCAAGGACTTCGTGGATGAATGTTTGCAGGTTCACTGAATTATTCGATATTTGTCTGTGTTTACTGAAGCAGCATTGGTGTAAGGAACATATTTCATCTCCCAAGAACTAATTCACGCGATTATTTATAGTTTTTTCTAGTAACCTACAGGTCATGGCTATACATGTTTTATATCAGATATTATAGTTGCTTCGATCCACTTTCCAGAATAGAACATTTTCTATCTGAATTTCATTAAATGAATGATTGAAATGTCTGGCTTTATATGAAAAATTTTGTGTGAAGATGAAAAGGATATTATTTGAAAACGTCTTGAAAATTTATGGGAGCCTTTTTTCAGTGAAAAATCTTCATTTTCAGAGTTATCTATAACAACGTTCTCTGATGCTGCATGTATTATGGTTTTGGTGAAAAAATCATCACACTAATCAAAATTGCATTCATCGCACATGGTTATGAATTATTTTCGTTTCGATTATTCTTTCGAATAATGATCCATACATTCATATCAGAATCCTAATATACATGAATGAAAATATTTACTTGTAACAATAACATATTTTGGTCGAAACTAACGAACAAGAATGTAACTGAATATAAGAAAGAAGAAAAAAATTAAAGTAATGATCATTTGAACAAGTAACACTGGGAAATGCGTGCATAATATGAATGAATCTATGTAAATATAACAACCGATAATTTCTTGTAAGATTGATTGATTTGCTTGCCAAAAAATTGCCTTTTATAAAAGAAACCTCTATGGAATATAGAATTCCTCATTCTAGCATACCTACATAGTGTGTTCGACTCATATATAACTTTACATTTTTTCCCTTCTGAGTAATCAGCAGTAATATAAAGAATGCTATGGCATATTCACTTTCCAGGTAGTAAAAGTATTGTTGTTGATGTATAATACCTGTTTAATTGATTGTTTTGAAGAACAGTAATAGTCTACCATCAACTATTGAAGATGTGGCCTAAAATGGAAAGTTTCAATTACCAATAAACATATTTCAGATGTGGTTCCAGGAAAAATAGGGATTCTACGAGCATCCACATGTCAAACAGACCCAAGTTTTTCCAAGTATCAAGGTCGCCAGAGCATGGGAAATGCCATATCTGCTCTAATAATGCTACGATTTTACAAATCCAAAGTTTGGGTGCCTAAAATACTGAACACTATTCTCAGATATGGAGACTCGCTATACCGAGATGCAATGATAACCATTCCGAGAACGCAAAGCTTGAAGCTGTCGAATTTTCAGCGGAAAACCGAGTATGAAGGAAAGATGTTCTCCCCAGTCATAGAAGATTATGCTGTCGTAGGCAAATTACAATCTCAAGAGTACGATGTTCTTGATTTGTTTCCAGCACTTGAAAAATTTTTAGTGGATAACGAAAGTTGCGTTATTTTGGGACCTCTCAAATTAGCTGTATGGGTGGAAGACAAAAAATTTTTTATGATGGATCCAAATGAAAGGTTGGTACAAATGCACCGGTGTCATAGCCATCTTTTATATAATACTTCCAGTTTTGTCATTTAAAACCATTTCACCAAAGACCGATAGTCAGTGCTTATTATTCTCAATATCCGCGTATCATCGGTCGACTGTTAAAAAATGCACAGACATCGGTCAAGCCTGTGACAGATGCGGATTATCGGTGAAGGATGGGAGTTACTGTGTTGTTTGTGAACACGTTTTCTTTGTTTTCTTTGTTGGTTTTTCTACATGGGTATGAGGATATTTCCTAATAATAACAGCAAAATAAAACAAATCGTATTTCTGGAACATATATATTATAACTTATTTGTATCTGAATTTGTATTTATCTTTTGTGAATAAAATTATATTATATCTTCGGAAAAGTATAGAAATTGCGATGCCAAAAATATACTGGGAAAATAAACGGCTGAAATAATACTGCAGAATTTAATGAATCTTGGCCGCGTAAAACAACAAGTACTGAAGCAATTGAAGATCGTATATAGAGTCTGAAAACGTCAGTTCTTCTAGTTTGTTGTGAAGTTTGCTATAAAAGAAAAGGCCACCCTAAATTATTTGGGGAATAATTGGTGTCCTTGCAAATTTGATTTGAAATACTTCATTTTTTTCTGTGCCTTTCTCTTATTTATCATTGTCATGTTACTTGTCCTTCTCTTTTCTTGGTACTGAGAATATGATCTTATACTTAAAGGCATTCCGATGTTTTATCAATAATTTTCATGTAATCATTGTGTTTAAGTGAGGAATCAAGCTATTTTAAATCAGTGACTTGTCTGATTGTACTGACATGCATTATTTTTATAAATTTCACATCTTTGTTGACATGGCCAACCTTGTTTTGTAGATTTTCCCTGAAGACCATAATGAATTTTATCGAAATTTTGAGATAACTTGTTTTATTGGATACGTTTTCAAAAGTGTGTTTTTATTCCTGTTATAAATATTATTCTCCTATGGACTAATAAAGATAATTATCATAATTATACCGATTGTTACATATGTTCATTTTTTTGCATACGTTGAACTCGTTCTTCAGTCTGAGGTTGAAAAAAAATTGATTACTCTGACTTTTTTTCTGTCCTCTAAGACTTGAATAAACATTCATTTTTAATTTTTTTGAAATTTTGAGAAGATGAATTGTATGAAATAATTTTATTATGCAGAGTATATTTTCGACCGAAAATGGTTTAATAAAAAATAAAGAACATTCTACGATGACATTCATAGAACATAGAAATTTAGATGGTCATTAAACAAGACAGGTTGATAATTCTCAAATCTGCATGTTCCAGAAAATCTATATTCTACAAAGGAATACTTGCATTTAATGAATAACGTTGAACAATTTCCCGAAAACACCGAAAAATTCAAAATAGAACTATTTAAATATTATTGGAGTTTTTTCCCAAGAGAAAGAATTCTTCCTCTTGAAGATGATCACTTGGTGATCGAAACACGTGTCGAGGTGTAAAAATAAAGATTTGGTGTTGGGAAAAAACTCCAGTAATATTCATTAATACACCAAAGGTTCCAAACAGTACATCATAAGTATAGAACTATTTGTTAGATCAGTTTACATAATCATATTTGTGTGATTAATTGTTTGATGTAACCATTACTACGTGGTGGAAAATCATCATGAAAAATGAGAAATGAAGCTTTATATGTTATTTCACCACTTTCATTTGTAACTATCATTAATGAGACGCCACTTAGTTTAAAAAGGCCAAAAAAAAACAAAACGGAAGAAACAAAAGGGAATTCAAGAAAAAATTTCCGGTGAAACGCCGGGCCAAAAAAATCAAGGAACAACCCACACGATTTCATTTTCTTCCTCGTCGACTCGATGGTGTGACGTATATACATACCATTTCTAGAAGACACATTGCCAGAATTGTAAGAGAATGTATGTTTGCTAATAAGGCAAAATAAGTGGTTTATGCACGATGGAGTACCTGCTCAGTTCAGTGTAATCGCTTGGGAATATCCTTCTGATGCTTTTGCTCGCCAGTGGATAGGTCGTGGCCATCTAGATCTCCATACTGGAACTCTCTGGAAAACGACTTGGGAAATATACATTCGCATAATTCTAATGTAATAGGCAACACCCCAGAAAATTTTGAACGTGTGCGGCACTCGATGAGGAGAAGAATTGATGCTTGTATTGCAATTCGAAGTTCTCATTTTGATCATTTTTCATTATGACCTATCCTGTTTTCCAAATGAAATATAAATTAACCAACAGTTTGAATACCTCTTCCAGCTACTATCCAAACATATTTTCATTTCAGAGTTTGTTCATTTTTGAACTCAGGTCATGCTTAATTCGCATATCTACCAAACTACGATGAAGTGTAGCTATTCAAAATAATATTAAACAGTGGCGTTCAAGGATTTCTACCATTGATATAAGTCAAGTTACCCTCTGCGACGCCAGTGGAATTGAAAATTCCAAATATAATTTCATGGAAAGAAGCCTCTTGTTACTCATAACAAACACATATAGTTTAAATTTCATTAGTTCGACCTTCCATATTCTAAGATTATATAAAATGATTAGGGTAATACTGAACTAGACGCCTTCCTGAAACACATCAACAGTGTAAGACCTTATATCACCTTCACAATAGAGAAGGAATTGCAATTCTTAGACATATTGGTGGGAAACATCTTTATACCGAAAACCCACTCACACGGGACAGTATCTGAACCACAAATCCAACCACCATCAATGGACCAATAGAGGAATCATCAAGACTCCATTAGATCATCAAGACTCTATTAGACGGTGCTTTTCAGCTCTGTAATACGAAGGAAGGTCTCGAGAAGAAACTAGACATCATCAAAAAATTATGTTCAATGGAATGGCTACGCCAAAGCGATGGTGGAACAGACTTTGGCTAAAAGACAGCAGGAGCCTCGCAAGGAAGAGAAGCCAGTGTACAACCGCCAAACGGTTATCTAACGCTGAAGTGGAAAGAGGAGCCAAGTGAACGTATTCGAATGACCCATAAATAGTCATCTTTTGGAGGAATTAGTCCAGTCATCACCCGAAGACGATTGTGGATACTAACAATAGAAACGTCGTCAAGTAACTCGGCTTGGAATCTTTAGGCAACGGTTTTCTATCACGAAAGTGATAGAAAACCGTTGCGTCTGTGTGCAAGTTCCAATAAAACGGTTTTCGTGAAACCCATTACATGAAACCAGTTTCATGAAACACGTTTCTCTAGTGTGCACCGCGCCTAAAGTTTCATAACTGGTTTATATTCTATTTCATCACTTCATAGTACAAAACAAAGTCGCATTCCGCTGTCTAACCCTATATATGTTTATTTACGAACCGATTTTAAGTAATACAGCATCAATTCTTATCCAATCAAGTACCTTGAATACATTGTGCATTCTTTTATAGATCACGTACACGTACTACGGTACTGAATATACGTCGGTTCAGCGAGACAGTGACGTCATCTCATTAGCCAGCTTGCCTGCCAGCTCGCAAGGTAAAGAGACCACCCAGTCAACGAAATTTTCACGTGGTGTCGTGTCACCCAGCAGTGAACCAATCAGAGTTTACCAAATTGTCACGTAGTGTCCTCAAATTGTCACACAGCTCGGCATCTAATCAGAGCGCACGCTTTTGCATCTCAGAATATCGTGGCGGGAGATTTGAATTTTCTGTGGACATAAATAATTCAAACATATAACCAGTCAACGAGACAGACCACCTAGTCACGTGGGGCGTGACTAGGTGCCCACCTTTTTGCACAACACATTTTTGTTTCATGACGTCGTAAAAAAAGTTTTTGTTGGAGAATTTATACAGGTCGTTGGTATGATAGACCACGTCTAGCTGGTTATTGCTAAAATAAAAAAAAGTGTTGAATTTTTTTTCCACGTGTCCATATACATTTTTGCACAAACACCTAATTTCAAAAGTATCTACTTCATGTCCATTCACATAGCAATGGGAAAATCAATTATTGTGCGATTGATATATATGCAATAAAGTAGTTTTAATTTATTTCTGTGAAACAAAGCTAGGTAAAAAAACAAATCGAATAATGAAAATGTTATTTCTAGATGTTTTACCCAACAAAAATATTCAGATCTGCATGAACTATATACTCAAAAGATCACTAAAGTGAAATTATGTAAATAAGTACTTTGCGATTCGATTTTGATATTTAGATCTATCAGAAATTAGATTACCATCATATTTGAATTGGAAAAGTGTCTGATTTTCAATCTCATAGAGTTTTCAATGTTTCAAAATTATAAAAATAAATATCTTTTGTTATCAGAGATGCGTTTGGCAGAGCGATTTCTGAGAAAACCGTCTATGGTTCTAATATGGTACACATGGATTTACTACCCGGTAAAGCTTGTGTCATGTGGTTCACCAGCCTCCACGATCTCGTAGATGTGTATATGAACAACGTCGACAAGCCGCAAAGGTCAGATACATTCTATCTGAGTAAAGTTCAGATAGAAAATTATGTAGATGTTCCCGATCCTTGGTATAACTTCAAAGGTGAGTTACAAGTAGAAATATTAGTTCTGCAGTTACTCAATTATAAATGAAATGACTGAGATGTCAGACGAGTAGAATAAAATAGGTAGGTATTTCGGAACTCATTGATTTTCTGAAGATTTTCTTGTCCAAAATAATTCTCCAAAATAATCTCTAGAAAATCAATGAATTTGTTCCGAAATACCTACCTATTTCATTTTAATGTTTTGTGATTTGACTTCATTGAATAATAAGTTACAATACTGCATAATTTTGAGTAATTTTCGGTGTTAACAAAAAATGAAAATAACTTTGCACCAAAAACTTTGAAGATTATTTTACTTCTCAAAAACATTGACCGTGGTTAACACCATAGTTGTGTGATTCGTAATATTGCAGTCTTTTGAAATAAACGGTCGTATACAGCATGCTGTCTATTTCAGCAAATTTTCATTTATCGTAGTCCCCATTCCAAAAAAAATGGTAAAAAAGTAAAACTTCACTTAGATAGCCATGACTTCAAATCTAGATGTATATTTCAATGCTGAACAACTTTTCTGAATAACATTTTCCAAGATATTTCAAAATAAGAGTACTTTACTCCTGTCTCAAATCGAAATCAAACATTTGAAGGCTCCTCGCTCGTAAATTACATGTGTTTTACTGTATTTCGTTGGTGCATGTTCAGTTTAAGGGGATGCACAAACTTACATGAGGAATAATTTTTTGTTGAAAAACCCTCAATACATAAGTTTCACATATGATGCATACTTTGGGAATAGCACTGTATATATGTATACTTCAGCATTCTGCGCAACTAATGGGGCGCAGAATGCTGAAGTAAAATCATCAGGCACCTGTGCAACGTCTTCAATTTGGAAGATTCGTCGCAATGAATGCACGTCGTCTTGATTTCAGACAGGTTGAAGCCTGGCTCCCTTACCCTTTGAACTGATGTTTGCCAGAAGGACAAACGGAAGTTTCGTCGCAATTTAGAAAGGCAGAAATTGATTTCAGCTATCTGCAGTTGATTCAGTAGGATGCCCATTTCGCCACCTGCAGACAAAGTCTGAAGACAACTCCACATACTCTGGGGTGGGAGTCAGAATAATAAACATTCCGGAGAGGTGCATATGACATGTTCGAGTTCAGGTGAAAAACACCTTACCTCTGACCTCTCATGTGGACCTACGACTTTGTAGGTACATGTGGCAGATACCCAATGGAAAAACAAACAACCCACTCAGCTAATGCCGCGCAGAGTGTTGAAGTAAAACCCTCGCCCAGTATCGGGCATGTTATCTCAGATGGAGTCATTAGCTGTATCTACAGTTGATGCAGTTCAGTTGATTTTATTGAATAAAGTGGCACGCCAAAGTAAATTTTCATACATATTGTTCAAACAATATAAATAATTATGCTCTTGCTTCGAGAGGTGTCTGATTTCAAATAATATAATGGCATTAATTAAAAACATGGTTTTTGGTTGAATTGAGAGTGAAATTTATCAACTTGAGCATGTACTGATAAATATACTTGAAATTTGTCCTGGATATATACTATGATATTGGAATTTTACGGGACAGTTATTATTTTTCATGACCAAGAAGACTGAAGAAACGATTCAAATTATTGAACAAAACATAAAAGAGGTGAAAGCCTGGGTGTGTAACATCATTTCAAGAACAGAACAATCGAATTATCGATTATATCGAGGACTGTATTATTTGAAATTTGTTTTTGTATACATGGAGAGCATTATCTCATACAACTGCCTTATTTGCAATGAGTAGTGTACTGTATTTTTATGTTTTTAGGAATACTTCAAGATGTTTGGATCCTCAGAGGTACTATTAGTCAAAATGATAAAAAGTTTGGAAACGATTCAAGGAATTTACAGAGTCCTGCGACTTGTCTGGTAGTTCTGGCGATGAAAGAATTACAACCTCTGAAAGAGTGGTCCAGTGCAACAGTTGATAAGGTACCTCTGATATTTGCGTTTTTTCAGATTTGCAAGCTCCCCATTTTAATTCACTTGAAAATTCACTTGAAATTTTTTCGTTTGAAATATCAGAACAATGTTGGAATATTCTACAATAGGGTCTGAATGACGGAAAAGTGGAAAACACTCATTTCTTTTTAGTTCAATGTTGATTTTATAATCATCAACCAGCTCAACATCAATCAGCTCCCTCCAAAGTATTCATGGGTGAAGGGGAAGCAATCAGTATAATATAATTATCAAGGTCATTCAATAAATGAATGATCTGAGGAGTGAGAAATGAAACTAATCATATCTGATACGATACAATATATGGACCACTACTCAAAATATTGAAATTTTTTGTGCCATAATAAGAGCGTTTCGAGTAGATTGTTCGGGTCGAGAACCATGTTGGTGTATTGAAATTTATGTTATTATGGAAAAGGAAATCGTTCGAAATTCGTGAGGAAACTAATAGGTCTGAAGTATTCAAGGTTCTTATGGTCATTGGTCAGTTTGTGGATCATTATGGTGTTTGCCTGTTTCCAGGCGGTGGAAAAGTATTCGTGTTTGGGGCAGGTGTTCGGAATGTGGCTGAGGTGAGAAATGATGGTATGAGAAAGTTTTTTCAGTGATTGTCAGAGGATGGGGATCTGAGTAGGCATATGGGGATCTGGGTGAGTAATTGGGCTCAAGAGAGATGTGGCCGAGATATCTGTTCAGATGATTGGCTACTTGTTGCTGTATATTGTTGAGATGTGCGTTGTAAAAGTGTGCGTCAGTGGGTAGTTTGAGTGTTTTCTTCGAATCGAAATATTCTTACCGAGTAAAGCAACCACCTTGGTTCCATATTAATTCCAAGAGTTTTCTTCTGTTGTGTTCTATTTTGAATGGACATTGTTCAACATTTTTGGTGTGGAAAAAAATAATGAAAATTATTGGAAATCATAATCTCAAGACCCTCATTTTTGTACTAGTCGAAATTTGAAAGTACTTCCACTGATTTCAGCCACAATCTTCACCGACAAATTAATGAAGTATACCCGATAAAAAGAGCGAATACCAGTTAATTATATCAATCATGAATAATTTTTTCAGGTCCTTGATTTGGGAGATCAGTTTTATATGGAATCTGTCGAGAAGCTCAAGGAAATTGGCTCTTTTGAAGATAAGATGCTCATGCTTACTGAATTGAATAAAAAATTCAAGTTGTCCAATATGCAAGCCTTGTTTGAGATCGAAGATTGCGACATCACTGGAAAAATCAACCCTAGTTACGATGAAAACGACATAAGCCTGAAAAAAGTAACCAATCACTTTACTGTACTGAACTCGTTCTGATATTCATTGTACGTGTTTTATAAAATGAATGATATATCCATTGATAATCACAATTGTTGTTCTTCGAGATATTGCACAAAGTTCCATGAATCCAACAGGGGATCAATTTTTTTTACCTTACCTTCAGTTAGAAATTTCTGATGGGAATATCTTCAGATCTGTCAATCAGGGGGGTTGACAGATCTGAAGTACTTCATGAATTCGAAAGATTATTCACAAAGTGGACTATGCTGCTTTTCAGTGCTTTTTTGTTTTTGATAATTGAAAAAAAGCTGATAATTTTATAGATACTTGAACATCTTGGAGGCCAAAATTTGCTTCCGTCTTCAGTTTTCAAAAATTCAATTATATATTGCACTTTTTCTTTTCAAAATTTGCCATTTTTAGTTCAAAAAGTTGAAAAAGTTGTGTTCTTCTTAATATACACACGCTTTCACCCCACTTGTGAGGTAGCGTTTTTGAAAGTGGTTTTCCCAATAGGCATATTCCATGATCTATTGTAATACTATTTCTTTTTTCATTTTTTCAAGGATAAAACACAAGTACTGCAGAAAGATCTTAAAGGCGCTCTGAGAGCGGTGCCTGTGCGAAAGTAGCGTTTCACATTGGATTTGAATCGCTGGAGATTAAATCCATTTGAAAAAACGTTCTGTATACTTTCACCAGAGTTTAGACTTGCAATAAATTTTGTAACAAATAAAAATATCAAAACAATAGCGAAAAATTGATTCACGAGATCACTTCATCAAGATGAGAACTGGGGAGATATTATTTCTAACTCGCCCCGTACTTTTTGATGGAGTATCTTGGATCTAGAGCGAATGATATTCTGAACTTACTCAATAGTGGACCGACCTCGAAGAAATCCAGATTGTTGGTTTTTAACTATCCCCTCAATGGATTTGCTGGTATTGATATGCTATTGAACTTCAACTAGCTTTTCCTAATATGACTAATAACCAGTCCGTGCAAAGCTTATTATTAAATAATATGAAAATGGATTCTTCAACAAGTGATGATCGACTGTATTTCCAAACATGCGCCAAACCAACTGACTGTTATAAGAAAACAAGTATAGCTGAGGCACCAGTCAATCTAATAGTAACACTGATGATCTTCAAACATGACTCAACCTCGGACGGAAGCACCAAACTGTTACGAAAGTTCGAAATAAATGAACACTTCAATCTAGCACACCACTATTATAATTTTCCATGCAGTCATTATCCACTGTGGTTCTGGCGTTGAATCTGGTCATTATTACGCATTGATCAAAGACGAAACGGACTGGTTTAAGTTTGAAGATAGTCGTGACACTAAGTGTTTTGGCGAAGTATTGAATATACTGGAGCCTCTGGAGACACCCTTTATTTTGTTTTATGAGAGAGAGGACATTGGCAGATTAAGATTTTCAGATGATGTGGTGCTGCAGGTTTTTCCGGGTTTTCCTGCAGCTGAACAAGCAAATGCGCCACTAGAATCAATGAAGTCGCCTCGAAGCGTCAATTAATTTTTGTTGTTGTTTAATAATTTCACGATTTGTATTTTGAAAGTGTTGTTTAAACAATAATAAACAATACAGAATTTTCAAATGTGAACATTTTCAGGGAGTTCAAATATATTTCAACGACAATGATTCAGGAATAATTACATGTCGTGATATATCTATTGCGGTATGGAAGAAAGATAACGTCTTTTATTATTTCGACAGCCATAGTAGAGATGAAATGGGCCTTGCAACAGGTAAAAATCATTGAAAGATATAGGACGTTATGAAGGGTAATATGTTATTGAGAGAAAATTCTATTAAAAATATCACCAATTACCTATCTTGAAACATTTGTATTATCTTTAATTATCAGTATGAGTTTCAGATTTTGGAATGGCCTGCATCCTTAGAACTACATTCTTGGACGATCTATTGAATACTTTAGTTGCTAACTTGGGTCCTGGCAAAGAAAGCATTTATAATATCAACAAAATTACTGTAACATTCTTGGAAACCGCCGATGGTGACTTGTATCGTCCGCCTTTGAAAAATTACAAAAGAGTAAATGACCGTTGTTCCATCCTGAGATCCCTTTACAGCGAAATTTCGACAAAATATGACGTCAATGGTGGTAAACAAACAATTCCAATGTGCCTTGCTGCTCTTGCATTCAATAAGTTGAAACCCGCTAGTGATTGGACCAAGCAGGATTTAGATGAAATTTTAAATAAGGTGAGTGGACACTTTTTTTGATAAGTTTCAAAAGGTGAAAAATTGCTAGAGTTATTCACTATAATGTAACCCAATTATTGAGTAGATAAAGACTAACATACAGCGCTTCCAAAAAATAATGTGTGAATTCTATAAAATCATTGGAAAAACATTCCAGCAGAATGTTTGAACAGTTCGAAATTCTCTTCTGAATTGTCATTCGATTTTGTTATTTCCAACCCCTATCTCTCCACCCCCGGGCAACCCTACAAAAGCAAGCCTGGCCAGCTCTACCCAAATTCAAGATGCAATAAACCATCTTCTAGCAGAAGGACATGAGTTCAATAATGAATACGACGTGTTAAATTTAGAAGAGAAGAGTTTGAAACTCAATCTTCTAAAATGCTCAGAAATCAATAGATTCAAGAACTCAGGTAATTCACTGAATGATCAATTAGAATTGAATACCTCCCCGTTACTAAATATTTTTTCAGATGTGCAAACTGGGACATAAGCTCAGGTAATTTAATTCATTACGAATATAGGTAAAAATAAGGTAATTCGAATGGAGGTACTTCAAATTGTAAAATAAGGTATATTGAGCATTGAATATGTAGAATTAATTAGTAAAAGCACACCAGAAAAAGCCATTGTATGACGAAACACGTGTTGCGTTTTTGTAAAACTGTTTGGTGAAAATCTCACAATAAAGTGTCTTTTTACACGCTTTATATCAGCTTTACCTATATGTATGTATGTATGTGTGTTTGTTTACTTGTAACCTCCTTGATATTTCCTAATCTATTCGCGAGCAGACGTCGCTGCGTAACCTCCTTGGTAGGTTGTTGAAAAGAAAATTATTATTGCTTGATATATTCGCGGGCAGATGGCGATGTTCTTAACCTGCTTGATCTATTCGCGAGCAAATGGCGCTGTACGTAACCTCCTTGATATTTGTGGATCTATTCGCAAATAGAGGGCGCTGCGTAACCTTTTTGATGGGTTGTTTGAAAGAAAACTAAAATGAAAAATGGATTTTAAGAATTATAAGTGTTAGCGAAATTTTTTACTACTTATGAAATATTTAGATATTTAAATATTTCCAATTACCCGTGATATAGTACGGAAAAAAGTTTTGAACGAAACGAAAGATACATTTCAAAATCTAATTCGTTTATTCGAAAGCAAACCAGAATATGGATTTCAACAATGAAAACGTGACCTATCGTAAATTATAAACCTGAAAAATTCAGTTACTTGAATATTTCAAAAAATCTCTTTACTTCGAAACATATTTTAGAACTGTCTGCCCTCTGTTGGAGACTTAGAATTTAAGACCTCAACTTTATTATGTTGTTTCAGAGGAATTTTACATTCGTGCACCATCTGTTAAAGATTTATAATACTAGTGACTAGAACTTAAAAAAAAACATTTTTGACATTAAATAAGACTAAAAAGGGAAAAATAAATATAGTTCGAAAAAACTTAGGAACACGCTTTCATAGCATATGAAACTGAAAAGTAAAAAATGAATATAGTTATGGATTTCATCAAGTATCGGCCAATTCCATCATATAATACAGTTTATGTGACAGTATGTAATGTCAATATCTTTTTCCTGAAGGGAGATGCATTGTACGTTCAGAGCATGGTCGAGTTGTTGGCAAAAGAGGCAGAACCTGAAACTGAACCAAAGCCTGAGGTTAAATCTGAAGTAGACGGTTCAGGAGACGCTAAAAGTGAAACAAAACCGTCAGTAGAAAAAAGTGATGTAACAGGAAATGTGAAATCATTTTTCACTGAGAGTAAATTGGAAGGAGACCTAAATAAACTTGATGATGGAAGTATCACTTTGGATAACGTTAAAAACGAATTTTCTTTCGGTTTGAATAAGTTCAAACTTGAATTCGAGGAGGTAAACCAAGGTAAGATCTATCTTAGCAAAAATTTGTCATTCATTATACAGGTGCCTGGGCAGATTTTACCGTTTGAAAAATCTATTGTGTTACATCCAACATGAATCGCTTCTTTCGCACAGGCACCGCTCTTTTAGAGCGTCTTAAGGATTTCCCTGTAGTTTTGTCTTTTAAAATATATTTATAGGATGTACACTTATTGAGACTTGAGAATTCTCATATTTTACACGTTCTCCACATCCAGTTGAAAGAACCATATCAAAATTTAAAAAGCTTTTTCTATATTTGACCAGCTGTATGTTTGATTTGGATGATCACTGTTTTTATTCTGGTCGAAAACTATGTGTGATATAATATTAGGAGATATGTTTTCATAGACAACATCCAGCAAACTTTTGTTTGAATTATTCATTTTCAAAATGTTTTTCAATGATTTTCCAACATGAGGTGAGAAAGATAAACTATTTTTGAACATATTTTGACTAGCAAAGTTAACTGATCATATCATTCAATTGGGAATCCCAATTCAATATTCATTTTTTAATGATAGTGATCTATCAGTCAATTATATATCAAAGTGCGATGACAAAAAACATGAAGTAAAAATAAAGTACAAAATTATTCGTCGTGTTTAGGTCAGAGGTTGGCAAATTCTTTGCCGAAGGAACCATGAATTTTAATATCTGTGCTTACATCATCATTCATTCGTGATGGAATGTGGTATATTCTGCAAAAAAAATTGTCAAAACCGGTCCTCATCTAGTAGATTATAGTTTTTTAGAGTTGTTCATTTGAATATGTTGGCCAAAGAATGTCAAAATGCCATAAATCATTTTTGCCTTCAATAATATCATTTTTAATAATCATTCCAGATACCTGAAATTATTGCCTAAAGCTTGGGTATTTTTTAACATGTTTACGTACGTCAGGTCAAGCATGACGCAAACGCTTCTAGGCATGCGAATAATTAAATGGGAGTCCATTTCGTCTAATATTTTTTTGAAATGAAGAGATATTGTTTAAACTAATTTCAATAAACCGGTTCTGACGTCTTAAATTCATTTCAAAATAATGGAATGAAATCAATGAATTCACCACCATAAATAAAGAAATTTTCAAAGAGCTGATAGAATTTTGTCTGAAATTTAGCAATTTTACTTATGATTCAACTGTTTCTATGACAATTTCAGTGACACTTATGGAAGGCCCTAAAGTTCTACTTGTGTTACTTGTTGCAAAACATCATTTTTATTGAAGGCAAATATTATTTGATTACTCTATAGTGATTTATGTACAATTTTTCGATTTACTCAATATTTTCGTCGAAAACAATTGTAAAAAGAGTTGCCTTGATCCATGAATGATATTGGCTAGCAACGTTTTCTTATTACCTTCTTCATTCGAAAAGTGAATAAATAACGTACTAGGGTAGTTTGGAAATAGTATTTGGGTATAATTCAAGTAAACGATATAGTGCAACCTACCTTACAACAGTTATACAGTGTCACCATTAAAGTCCGCACCATATGGGAAACTTTTTTTTCGAAAAGTTTCAATGAAGTTTAACTTCGGCACTCGTTTGTGCTTTAAATTTAACTTGAAATGATGCGGCCAACTGCGACCCACTGACGTTCAGTGTTTGTCAAATTCAACTTTTTTTTT